TCCAACTTATTTTCTCATGTGTCAACTTTTCCAAACAAAATAAAAGGAGGTGGAGGGGCGGCGGAGGGGAGCGGTGGGGAGGAGGGAGGGGGGGGGAAGAATAAGGGACAACCTTTCTCCCGGCCCCCACCTCTTTCCCCCTGGAAACACGCAGGGTTTTGGGTTGTCTTTTTTTCTTTTTCTTTTTCTTTTTTCTTTTTTTTTTTTTTTTTTGCTGGCAGTCACCAAAATCAGAGAAATGAAGAAAAAAAAAATAAAATTAACGAAAAATAAAATATATATCCGGGGATCCTTTCCCTTGCAGGCCCGAGGACCCACAGCGGGCAGCCCGCAGGGGAGGGCAGGGAGGCAGCGCGGAGCAGCCCCGGCCGCGGAGGGGCCGCTCAGCCCCTGCCGAGCACCCGAGTGTCGCCGGCCCGAGCCACTCGCTTCCCCGAGGCCCGAGCGGGACTCTCGGCTCTCAGCGTGACAAAGGACATCGCAAAGAACGATTTGGATTATTGTTACTTTTTTTTTTTTTTTTTAACCAGGTCACAAACATTTATTAATTTACACCAACGGTGGACAAAATTCTGTTGCCTTTTCCACATCAAATTATTCACAGATTCTCTCAATAAAATAGATATGACGGATGCACAACCAGTGAAGAGTTAACTGGACTCCGCTCATTAGCTCCCGAATAATCTATATACAAATAATTACCAATACACCAAAAAACCCACGCACGGAGGGGGTGGGAAAACTGGGATAAAAAAAAAAGTAGTATGGGAATTTTCCAAACTTCCTGACGGATCGGATTGTCTGTTAAACGTGCATTTGACTGTCTCACTGGGGGAGGAAAAAAAGAAAAAGACAAAAAAAAAAAAAGGCAAAAAAATAAACCACGGTCCTGAGTTTCACCGACTTTTCTTCTTCTTAAAAATAAAGTAACCTTAAACAGTGCCTTTTAAAACCAAACCCGAAGCTTCAAAGAAACTAAAAATAAGATCGAACCATTGAAACATTTTCTTTGAGAGCAGGGGAGAGACAGACATACATGGCAAAACCACCCGGGAGGGAGACTTGCAAGAACAAAAACGGGTTCTCTGCGACCAGGGGCATCAGCAACTCCCCTGGCCGCTTTCCCAGGTGATTTGGGGGACCCCCGCGCAAAACCCGCACCTCTCAAAGGAAACGTTTCCCACTCTAAGACCATTTCGTTCTTAACATGCCCCCCCTTCACTCTTCGCAAGCCGTTGAGTGTTCAACCAGCCCAGGTCCCAGCTTATGTTACGGCCACTTTATAAATATGCTTTGGCGTTTGTGGGACCAAATCGTGTTATTCTTTCCCTCCTCCCGCCCTCCCGATTTATTAGTTTGGGGTTTTTTTCCCCCGAGGAAAGAGAGGCAAACAGATCTGGATGCCACTGAGCCTGGAAGTAAAGTAAAAATTAAAAAAAAAAAAAATTCCTACCTTAAAACACAACAGAAGGAGATCGGGGGGGGGGGGGGGGGGGGGGGGGGGGGGGGGGGGGGGGGGGGGGGGGGGGGGGGGGGGGGGGGGGGGGGGGGGGGGGGGGGGGGGGGAGAGCTGGAAAGGGGCCGTTTGCTTCGCGACTCTCCCCCCCCTCCCTTCCCCTTCCCCAGTCCCCCGCACACTTTAAAAATGACAGCTGCTGAGGGTTGTGATTTTACTGGAAAAGTTCTGGGCCGGTTGGAGGAGCGGCTCGTGTGCCAGGCTGACCTGGGGCTGTGCCGGGGCCAAGGCGGGGCTGAGCACGGCCAGGACCTGTGCCGGGGGGCCCGCCTGGCCGGCGGGGTAGGGCGCGGCGGGCGCAGCGCTGGGGTTGGTGCTGGGCGGCGGGGGCACGGCCCCCCCGATGATGTTGTCTATGGAAAAAGAGGGCCGGGAGGGGTGGTTGGTGCCGCCGCCGCCGCCGCCGCCGGCGGGCGAGGGGTCCGGCTTGAGGGTCTGGAGGAGGGCGGCGGGCAGGGCGGTGGGGCTCAGCTGAGGGTGGTAGAAGGACTTCCTGCAGTTCAGCTCGCCGCCCAGGAAGGAGGGCAGCCCCGAGGCGGCGGAGAAGACGGAGGCGGCGGCGGGAGGCGGCGGAGCCGGTAACGGGCAGTGGGGCGCCGGGAAAGGGAAGGCGCCCGCGGCGCCGCCGCCTCCGCCGCCGGGGTGGTGGTGGTGGTGGTGGGGGTAGCCCTGGAGCTGCAGGCCGTAGTTGTAGCCGTAGGGTCCGTAGGCGAAGCCGGGCAGGAAGGCGGCGGGGTCGGCGGCCCCGGCCCGCAGCAGCAGCTCGGGGTGCGGCGGGTGCAGCTGCTGCTGCCTCTTGAAGCGCTTCCTCCGGCGCAGGAAGCTCCCGTTGTCGAACATGTCGGCGGACTCGGGGTCCAGCGTCCAGTAGTTGCCCTTGCCCGGGTTGCCGGGCTCCCGGGGGATCTTGACGAAGCAGTCGTTGAGGGAGAGGTTGTGGCGGATGCTGTTCTGCCAGGCGGGGAACTTCTCCCGGTAGTATGGAAAGCGCCCGCTGATGAACTCGCAGATCTCGCTCAGCGTCAGCCGCTTCTTGGGGCTCTGTAGGATGGCCATGGTGATGAGGGCGATGTAGGAGTAGGGCGGCTTCACCAGCGGGTTCTTTCCCCCCGCGCCGCCGCCGCCGCCGCCGCCCGCGGGCGCCTTGTCCCCGGGCGCGGCGCCGCGGGCGCAGGCGGGCTCGGAGCCGCCGGCGGGGGACAGACGCTCCGGGGAGCCCCCCATGCGCGCCTTGGCGGCCCCTCTCCGCGGCAGCGCCAGCCCCAGCGGATCGCCGCCGTCCTCCTCGTCCTCCTCCTCCTCCTCGTCCTCGTCGTCGTCCTCCTCCTCGCTGTACTTGCCCCCATCCTGGGGCGGGCCCACCACGTCGATATCCGCGTCCTCCACCTCGGAGAGCGGCTCTTCCTCCGGGGAGCGCTCGGACATGATCCCGCAGCCGCCGCCGCCGCTGCTGCCCAAAGTCATTGTTGTGCGGCCGGGGCGGCCGGGGCCGGGCTCCCCCCCCCACCTAGCGGCGGCTCCCGGGATGGGCCCGGGGCCGTGCCGGAGGGCTGCGGCCGCCGCTGGGACTCCGCGCCCCGGCGCCGCCGCTCCGCTCCGCGCCCCGCTCGCCGCGCCGCTGCTGGCGGGGCCGCGGTGGTGGCTGCGGGGTGGTGGCTGCGGAGGGAGGGGCGGCGGAGGGGGCGCGGGGCGGGGGGCGGGGGGAACGGGGCGCCCGTGGGCTGGGCAGGGAGCTTGGGAGCAGCGATAATAAATAATGGTGATAATGATAATAAAGGAGAGAAAGAGGGGGAAAAAAAAAAAGAAAGAAATAAAGGAAAAAAAAAAAAAAGTGGGTTTTGCGGCGGCTCCGTGCCTAGTTGGGAGGGGGGGGAGGGAGGGGGAGGGGGGAGGGAGGGGCAGGGGAAGAGGGAGGGGGGAGGGCAGAAGTGGGGAAGGCGGCTCCCCCCTCCCCACCCCTCCCGAGCTGGGACACGGTGGAAACGCTCCCACACTGCGCCTGCTGCCAGGGCTCCCCAGGCCTTTATACGGCCGCCCCAGCATCACGTGGCGCCCGCTGCAGCCCCCTCGGGGCACGGAGAGGGGCTGCCCGGCCCAGCCCGGTCCCCGGGGAGCGTGTTCCCCGCCCGGGATGCTTTCGAGGAAAGGCGCTGCCCATTCCCCTGCCGCTCGGTTGCCCCCGGCTTCGTCTGGAGTCGATTGCTGCAGGAGAGGGGGTCGGCGCTGGGTAAAGCCCCTTCCCGCTCCTGATGCCCCGCGGTGCTGGAGGCTCGCAGAGCCCATTCCTGCGGGATGCGACCGGCCAGGGTTCCGCGGAGGGTCCCTTTCTCCCCTCGAGGGCTGCCCATCCCCGAGTCTGGGCCCTGAGCTGCAAACCTGCAGCGGTCTCACCGACAGGCAACCCTCACTCCGCCAGGACCGAACCCTCGGCCCCTTTGAGGGGTCATGTGAATTTGGGGATCCTCGCTCCCCTTCTCCAGGCGCTCACGTCACCGACGCGTCACCGAGCCCGGGACACCCTGCCTGGAAACCCGCCTCGCCCGAGGGCTCCCACGGCCCGCACCCGCGGAAGGGATGCTGCCGCCCGGCAGGTGCGGGGCGGAGGGCGAGCGGTAGCGCTCAGTCAGTCCTCTCCCCACGCGAGAAATAACCAAAGCAAAGGCTGCGTGTGTCCTCGGGGTGCTGGGACGGCACCCGAGTCCCGCACCTCCGCCCGGCGAGGCTGGCCCGGCCGGGTACCACTTTCCGAGGCGGCCCACCCGCGGCTCGTCCAGGCCCCAGGAACCCTTTGGAAAGGGGAGTATCCTGCGGCCTCGGGATCGCTTGTCTGCCGCCCTCCTGCCTCCCCTCCCCAGCGGCTGGCAGGCAGGAGGTAGTGGGCAGCGTACACCCACCCACCTTGCCGCGGGCTGCAGGCGAAGCGGGAGGATTTCCCCGTAAACAGAGTCCCCCAAGGCCCCTCAGAGTCACAGAAGTGGCCCCGCGTGTGGCAGAGTCCCGCTGTCCCGCTTGCAGCCGCCCTGGTGCAGTTCGGGGAACATGTCCACTGCTGAAACCGCCCACCCCATGTCCCGTGGGTGGCAGTGGCAGCAGGTTGTTCCAGTCTCTGCCGCGGACACGCCGAACCACGCTCGCAACGTTAGTTTTGGTTTGGTTTGTTCTTGTTGTGTAGGTTTGTTGTTTTTTTTTCTTCCCCTGTGGAGGCTCTGGAAACACGTAACCGCTTTCCCGGGGGAGGATGCTTGGGGAGGGAGCAAGGTGATGGGTTCCTCCAAGGGGGTACCATGAGGAGATGTCCCCCCATCAGGGCCGCGTTCGGCAGTGTGAGAATCCGCGGTGATGAATTGCCAGTCTCTGCCGTTAACAGGTGCGAGCATTTGGCGATAAAATCTCCAGCACTAATACCGGGGAGCCGGGCCAAACAGCTGCGCGGCCCCGCTTCCAAATGCCGGTCACAATTACTCAAGCCCTAACGACTCGGTGCACAGGCTCGGCGAATTCGGGGGGACCCCGAGGAGAGGGCAGAAGCGGACATCTTCGCCCGCGCATCTCCAGTGGAGGCAGCGATTGCAGAGCCGGAGCCTCTGCGCGATGCCGATCACATCCTCTTCCCTCGCCGCCAGCGTGGCCGTCGAGGAGAATTTCTCGACCAGAGGGGGGGAAAATAGACTAATAAGTGTGCTGAGAGTTTCTCAGGAAGGTGAGAATTCTGTCCCGTGGGCGCGTGTCAGTTCTGGGGGAGCTTTCCTGAGCTTTCACTTTTACACTTCAATGCTATTAACCTGCGTTTGCAACACATTCGCATACATCTCCTCTTCATACATGTATGTATATATTTAACTAGACATATGTTTATATTCTTTTATTTCTGATATATATTTTTCCCTATATATATAAATAGCTAACATGGAGAAACGCTTCGGAGATGCCACATCTTTCCTACCGACATTGTTTAAACTCTCCATTCATCAGCCCGGTGGAAAGACGATGGGAAGAACAAATGGAAGAGAGCGGAGAGGGAAAAGACCCGAGCCGCTTTCCATTTTTATTAAGTAAAATAATAGTTATGCCTCCCCTACATAAACGAAAGTGTCATAAAAAATTCCGAAGCAGCTGCCAGAGATTTCGACCACACACACAACGGGGCGATTGAATTTCTACTTGGTGCATTTCATGGCAGCGAGGAACCGCCGGGAGCTGCGCCTTGTGCCTCTGCAGGGCGGTGAAGGGGAGGGCAGGGAGGGGGCAGCAAAATGACGCGCTGCGAGTGGACGAGGGCAGAGGACACCGCCCGGGGGATGCTCCAAGGGGGGAAGATGCTCAGCCGCCCCCGCGGCGCCCGGTCTCCCGATCACTCCGTCTAGAGGCTGTTCTTACACGGCTCGAAGTGAAACAGATGTGGGTGTCTGCTGCCTGCCCCCCCCCAATACCCCCCACCCCCGCCCTGCCCCCGCTGCTGGCTCCCCCCCTGTCTGGAAGGGTGGGCCAGACCGCGGGGGGAGCCCCCAGCAACGGGGGGCTCGGGTGGAGACGTTCGCTGCTATACTCATGGTCACTGGGACCGCGACGAGGCCGAAAATGTAGAGGGGAGACGAGAAGGGTTGATCCGATGTGGCTGTTGATGGGATGCGGCCGGTGGCTTGTCCTGCTCCCGCCCCTGGACCTGGCTTTCCCCTTCAGCATCGCTCAGAGCGCCGCGGCTCGAGAAATAATAAGTCCCGATCAGCCACCATCGACACGATTTCTGCCTGTTTCAAGTCACAATATTGTTCCCGTTGAAGTCGGAAACGACCCAAAATGAAAAGACAGTGAATGAGTCCTGCTCCCTCCATCTCCGAGCGGCTCCTGTTCGCCGAGGCAGTCTTAGCCTCGGCTTTGCCACTCAAGATTGGCTGCAGAAACGAATCAAAACGAGAAAAAGTACCTAAACTACACCCGTCCCGAAACGATTTAGAAAAGGGAAACCCTGGACAGAAAAAAACCAGATGGTCGGATCCCAGACACAGTGCACTCGCACACACACTCCCGCCTGTGCATCCACACACGGAGCGAGGGGTGTGTTTAATGTGCGCCAGGGTAAGAAATGATGTGGTCTTCCGAAAGAGAAACCCTATTGATCTACCCGAAAAGATTGCCTTGTCATCACCACGCCAATCCCTGGCGTGCAGGGCTAGGAGGGAAGCATTTTTCCTTGGGCAGATTTTTAATTTTTCCGCTCTCCTCTCTGCAGTATTTCCTTACAGGCAGCCTCGCCTCCCGTTTGAACCCGACTCTGCTTTACATTTCACGTTAAACTGAGGCATCAAACGTGAGTGGGGCTGTGCGCTGGTGGAGTGGAAAAAGTCTCCGAAAAGTCTCAATAGTAGAGAAGAAAAATAATAAAGGCCGTCGGCCGATTATGATCATTTTTTTTCTCTCCTTTAAATTGATTTTCCCTGTCTTTCCTGCCTGTCTTAATGAGGCGTTTGATCCAGGCATGTTGGGTGGGTGTTTGATGCCCTGCTGACGGCTTTAGCAGGTGATCCCCACGGCCGAACTTTGTCTCCATCCCCCACCCCCGGATCTCCCTGTGCCTCCGCCCGAGTCGGAGCCCCCTGCAAACTGCAAAACTGGCCGCAACGACCAGGCACTTTTTTTTTTCCCCCGCAGGGAAAAACTCGTTCCCTACCCATCCTCCGAGACCGTTATTTGCCGGGGGGTGTAGCAGAGGGCAGGGAGACCAAACCCCGGAGCACTGCGGGGTGCGATCGCTGCTTCTGCCCTAGTACTGGTCATGTCCACGCCCAAGGGAGCTGCTCCTACCGCAGCATCTCCCGGCGAGGGGGTTTAGCTGGGGGCAAAGCCCGGGGAAGCAAAACCCTTGGGCAGGGCAGAGGGTTCAGCTTCAGTCCAGCCGACGTTGATCCCAGACCCTTCCAGATGATCTGTTGGTTTTGCGATACATAATCGTTCTTGTTGCTTCTGTCGAGCAGCATCTAAATTCGTTTATTCTGATGAGAACCGCATCTACAAGTCCCCCAAGGCTCAGTGATGGATTTCTCTGTATTACCTCGTTATCAAGCTTGGCTGACCTCTAACTTCTCTGAAAACATGAACAAGACAGACCTGCTGCTGCCTGGGCTGCCCCAGGGGGCTCTTTTTCCACTTATGTGATTTCCTTTGATATTATTTCTCTTCTTTCCATATCCAAGGCTCAGACCTTCAGTGCTCCCTACAGTTCAACCTTTTTTCCAGCCCTGTACTGCCAGGTCCCAGCTTGCAAAGATCAGTTTGCAGTCTGCACACCAAGAGCTCCCAGCGCAGGGGAGGGTCAGTGGGAATGATGGTGACAGATAGTGACGGATAAATGAAATTCCCAATTTGGAAACCGACGGAGCCAAGTGCCAATATTCATCCCCGCAGTGTTCAGATGTTGGACAGCTCGGGTTTGTTAACTTGGCTTTTCAAATGCAGGTGTCTCAAAGTCCACACCAAAAAAAGGCCTGTTTTCCAATAAAGGCTTTTCCCAGGCACCC